TGGTGATCGCCGAGATCACTCGGTGAGTCGCCAAGTTGCTCTTCTATCGCCTAAAATTACAGAACTCTGAGACTGGATTGGGGGTAACTTCGGCAAGCAGAAGTTCCTTTCGGCGTGTCACCGAAAACATCGGCAAAGAATGACCTCATCACCAAAAGTCCTCATGGAAATCCAGATAAATGCTGATGGGCTAGTTAAAAGGCAAAAAGGCAAATCGCGGAATGAAACTGTCACGCCCCAAACTCAAGAGGCGCAACTGACTACTAAAGCCAAAACTCAGGCCCGAGCCGACCCTACTGAACCATTTGCTACTAGCGCATGGCAATCACATGCAATTAAGAAAACAAACAAGTATATCTCGGCTTAAAACTAAGCCCTCGGCCGGCAAGGCCCCTGTCAACAGATCTACAAAAGAACCAGCTACTCCCAAGAGTTCATATAAAAAAATATCCAACTAGCACAGAAGTCCTGATTGGGCCGTCGAGGCCACCATGATATCTATACCAAAACTAAAAACAGGTAAATATCAGTACAATACATCAAACAGCTCACAAGCTTCAGCAAACCAACAACATAGGGCAGCATGGCCATAACGTAGCTATAAACCCCACACACTAGTCTGCAAGCCTCTAAGAGTAGTAAAGATTGGTGGGACAGGGCCCCAGCCTACCCATGAGAATATATACAACAAAAGGTAACAAACCTCCCAACTCTGGCAGCTCCGGAGGAAAAGGGCTGACCAATCGGATAAAAGTCAATCCTGCTGATATGGAGGTCTACTCGGTCATCTGTCAGGACCTGCATGCATGAATGCAGCGCCCCCAAGGCAATGGGGCATCAATATAAAATAATGTATAGAGTATGAAAGGCAATAGACTATGATGAGGTATCCTGATATACTGGAATAATCTGATAAATAAATTAAGGATAAGATAATTGTACTGACCTGCTTCTAAATCTAAATTTATCAAAAATAATAAAACAACAACCTAACCAAGCCCCCATAAGCTCGGTAGGTACAAACAGCACACAAGACCACCTACTCAGGTCCCCATAAGCCCGGAAGGTGCCAATCAGCCTGTATACCCCTATCGGTAGTCCCCTAGCCCCGCAGGACGTCACATAGCCCTCTTAGGCATCAACATATCTTATAGACAACTCATAGCCCTCTTAGGCAACAATATGGCCCTGTAGGAAGCACATAACCCTCTTAGGCATCAATATATATCCCTGTAGGCAACTCATAGCCCTTCTAGGCATCAATATAGCCCCGTAGGCAACTCATAGCCCTTTTAGGCATCCATATAGCCCTGTAGGCAGAACATAACCCTGCTAGGCATAGATCACATTCCTGCAGCTAACAACAATAGCCCAAAGGCAACAATAACAATCCAACTGCTAAAAGTGAGCAATTTAGTGATAGGCAACCTATACAAATAGCCTCTAAGTTGCGTCCAACATACGAATGTTACTACTGAGTAAGAATATCGATAAGAGAGGATTATACGCACTCGAGCAGCCAACAATCAACAATAATAGCTATAAGTATAACAACGATAACAACTCAGTTACATTGCTCCTAAGCTTTAAGGAAACATGCCATAGGAAGAGAATAGCCTTAACATACCTTTTTCGCTAAATTCACGTGGCCTAAAGACTTTAACTCATAACTCCCTCGATACTACAACAAGGTAGGACCATAATCAACACACAAAATAAAAGATACCATGACAATACAATAAAAGATATGTATTTCTGTCGTAAATTGTTATTTGCTGCTTATAAAAGCTAGAGTCGATGAAAGAAGGGTCTTACCTCGATCTTAGGTTCGTAATTCACCTCACAACCTTCAAATATATTCAAACCCCTGCTGTACCAACACTAAAATGTGATATGCTACGCAATCGATAAAACAAATTATACCACGATGTTGAGCCCAACGCGTAGAACAACTTTTCGTCAAGGACTTACGTCGAGAAAATCTATATTTCACTTGATCCTAAAAATGGGTTTCTATGTTTTCAATGTATATTTAGCTCAAAATGAAGAAAAAACTCGAAGAAGAAGATATATACAACCTTCCACCGACCTAGGGCCCCACCTCACGTGCCTGCTTTCGCAGTCCCACGAAAATGCAAATATATCTCTATTCTGAAGTCGTATGAATGAACGGTTTGAATCGTTGGAAACTAGACTCGTAGACCTTCGATTCGATAGTTTGTGGGCCCCATAACTCTTCATAGATTGGGAGAAAACCTCCAAGACATTTGACCCAAATGTCAGAGAAATCTTTAAGAAGGAACTTACGATAACTTCCACCAACTTTTATTTTGCCACTTACCTAACTTCAAAACTTGAGATGCAACACTTGAACACTTAAAATAGGACATACCACATCATTCTTAATTTATTACTCACCCTCCTTGTCTTTCCACGAAGATACGAGTTAATTTAGATGTTTTGAAAAGTCGGGGTGTTACAGAAACGGCCATCCTGATATGGCTCGCCTAAATTTAGACTAGCTGGACTATGAAGATAAGAAATATTAAGGCGAGAAGAAGGATAATCGGCGAGTCACCAAATGGTCGGTGAAACGTGGCTTTCCTCGCCGATTAGTCCCAAAAATCCTCACACCAGACTTGTATACATTAATTTTTGTAAGAGAGAGAAAGTATTCAGAAACATGAGGAACAAAAGATTGAGCGCAAAAACACTACCATTGTGGATTTCAAGTGATTTTAGCAAGGTTTATCATTTCAGTTTTTTAATAGAAAAGATTTTAGTTAATTTTAACTTTTGAATTTCATTTACTCAGCTATGGAAAATGTGGTAGGTATGGAATTTCATCTTTTTACCGTGGTTGCCCTAAACCCTAACCTTGGGGGTTTGACAATGTGACAAATTGTTGCATTTGACTAAGTGGGTGTCATCAATTGGAAAATTGTGGTGTTAATTTGAAGTGGGTCTGAATTATTATCGTGGTTTAAATTCACTATTGCATGCTTAGTGCAATATAGTTTAGAGTTTAGTGCTTGGTCGAGAGAGAGGTATAAAACCAACGTGGTAATTTGGCATCATTAGTAGTGGGTCATTGCGGTTTCAGCTTAAGAAAGTGAAACTCAAGATTCAACCTTTGTGTCTAGCTCGAAAGAGTAGACTTGATGAGAAAGTGGGCTAGGCGTCTTATGGCTAGTGTTGAAGTTAGAGAGAATTCATCATAAATAAGGTAATTGTTCGAGAGAAAATTGCATTACTTATAGCCTATTCTACCCACAACAAATTGACATTGTTGGTAATGATGTTCACCCATTAAGTTGAATTCAATTGTTGGTTAGTGAACCCCCCAAGTATTTCCTCGTTATTTGATTGTTTCGGTTTGATTGTTGAAGTGGGTTAGTAACTACAACTTAGACTATGAATCCTAAACTCTCGAGTGTGGTGCTTGTTTAGCTAAAAAGGTCACTGTCATACTTTCATATTTGAATTCAAAAGAAAGCTACTCTCTGTGGGATCGACCCCAACTCATGTAGTTGGGTTTATACTGATTTACGACCGTTGACACTTAGAATTGGATAAAGTGTCTTTGAAATGTTAATCAAAATGGTGCCGCTATCGAGGAGTAGCGTTGTTTAAAGTTTTTTTATCAAAAAATTGACCTGTGAATCTGTTGGCTGTAGTTAAATCGATTTAGATGACATCGTGCTTTTGTTGAGTGGGTGACTAGAAGTAAGGATGAGTGAGGTAGAGGTGGATTTTAGCCAAGCAGGTCATCGGGACGGTATCAATAGTGGTTACAACCCATCTCAACCGGGTGAAATGGGTGCAATTTGCCTACCACAAACTGATGGGATTGCAATATTAAGGTCACTAGCATGCCTCTTCATCTCCTCCAAATGAGGCTAGATCACGAAAATCCACATGAGCATGTAAGAAATTTTATCGAGGTGTGCATCCCATTTTCATTCAAGAATGTGTCACAAGAGTCAATCCGGCTTAGGTTATTTCCACTATCTTTGACGGGGGAGGCTAGCAAGTGGTTGGCAAAGTTACCAAGCAATTCCATCACATCATGGGAGGAGCCGATTATGGCATTCAATGCGAGATTCTTTCCTCTATCAAGGCTGATGAAAGTTAGAGATAACATTCAAGGTTTCAAGCGATGGGAGGGTGAACCTATCCATGAAACGTGGGTGAGGTTTAAGAAACTCTTACTTCAATGCCCAACTCACGGGCTACCAAATGATTTGCTACTCTAATATTTTTACCGAAGTCTTGATTCGATTAATAAAGGAGAGGCTGATCAATTGGTATGAGATGGAATAATGTTGCAATCATTTGAGGTGGCTTCATTTCTTCTTGATAACATGATGAAAATAAATCAAGCTTGGTACACTCAAGAGGATCAAGTCTCTCCTTTTTATTTTAGAATGACACAAGAGCAACTTAATAAGGAAAGAGAAAGGGATGAGAACATCAAGAAGATGTTGACCCAAATGGAGCTACTACAAGAGAATATGTTGGAGAATGTGGGAAATCCTAAGGGAACAAGTGGAGTGTTTAGAGTTGAGGAGGGTTCCTCCTCAGGTTATTCAAAGCCGGGGGAGAATCAAGGTTGGAATTCCAAGAGATATGAGGAGGGTTTCCACCCACGCTATTTACAGCGTGGTGGGAATCAAGGTTGGAACTATCACAAGGGGAACGAACAAAGAAGATACTATCAAGATTGGGCTGAGCAAAGTGATTATTGGAAAATGGAGGATGACCATGAAGAGGACCACATTCAATTGAGTGAGAGCCCAAAGTCGAAAGGGAGTGCAAGTAGTCCCCGGGTGAATGATTTGCTGTCACGTATCCTTGATAGAGTTGAAGGTTTGGATGATTTGTTAAAAGGGATGAAAGCTGATTTTTCATCATTGAGCAATAAAGTGAACTCTTATGTAGATGCAATCAAGATACTTGAAGGTCAATTGAGTTTACTTTCAGCATAATTGAAACCAAAAATGACAATGAAAGATGATGATAGAGGGCTGGCTATGGTTACTCGTAGTGTAAAGGTAGCAATAGGTGATGTGACGGGCAATGAAGAAGCTCAAATGCATGAAGAAGACAAAGATATGGAGGAAGAAGAAATACCCATCCATCAAAGCATTGCCAAAGGGCCATAAAAAGATGTGGAGAAACACAATCCAATCCCAAAAGTTAAGAAACCTTTGCCCAAACTATCTCCTCCATTTCCCCAATGCCTCAAGAAGAAGAATGAGGATGAGAAGTTCACGAAGTTTTTATCGGTGTTCAAGACATTGCCAATTAGTCTCCCTCCAGTGGAAGCATTGTTGGAAACGCCGGGTTATGCCAAGTTCATGAACAAGTTAGTCAAAAAGAAAAGGAGCTTGGATTTTGAGACAATTGAAGTTTCTCATTGTTGTAGTGCAATTATGACTAATGAGCTGATAAAAAAGAGAGAAGATCCCGGAGTGTTCACTATTCCTTGCACCGGCATGCTCCAATTTGCTAAAGCCCTATGCGATTTGGGAGAAATCATCAACCTAATGCCATATGCAATCTATAAACAACTTGGGTTGGGTGAACCAAAAGCCACAACAATGAGACTCTTGATGAAGGACCGATCAATTAAACATTTTGTAGGGATACTATATGACATCTTGGTAAAGGTTGACCGATTCATTTTCCCGGATGATTTTATCATTCTCGATTGTGAAATAGATGCTGAAATTCCCATCATTTTGGGAAGATCATTCTTGGCAACCGGGAGAGCATTGGTTGATGTTGAAAGCGGAGAACTGAAGTTCCGGGTGAACGAAGATGAAGCAACCTTTAATGTTTGTAAGTCAATGAAACACCCAAGAGATATTCATGTGGTTTCCACTATTGATGTTATTGATAAGGCAGTGGCTAGTGTGAGCCATTTGATGTGTATGAGTGAACCACTTGAAGCCGTGCTTGCTAACTATGATGAGTTTGAAATTCAAGGCTACGAAGAGGTAGTAGCTGCTCTTTCAGGCATAAGGGGGGGGGGGTTACTAAAATATCCCATTGAAGTTGGACATTGATCTAAAAAATTGAGAAAGTCCTCCCATCTCCGATATGCTTTCTTGAGGGCATATAACACCTTACCGGTGATCATTGCAGCTGACTTGCTTGAATGGTAGGTAAAATTTCTCTTTAAGGTGTTAAGGAGGCATATAAAAGCTATAGGTTGGAGTATCGCTGACATAGTGGGCATTCCTCTTGGCATTTGCACTCACAAAATTCAGTTTGATAGTGATTGTAAGCCGAGTGTTGAACATCAACGGAGATTGAACCCACCAATGCAAGAGGTGGTGAAAAAGGAGATAATAAAGTGGTTGGACGTGGGTGCGATCTACCCTATTGTGGATATCAAATAGGTAAGCAATGTGTACCCAAAAAAAGAGGCATCACAGTAGTCCCAAATGAAAATGGGGAGCTTATATCTATGAGACCGGCGATCGGATGGTGAGTATGCATGGATTACCAGAAATTAAACTCATGGACCGAAAAGGATCACTTTCCTATGCCTTTCATGGATCAAATGCTTGATCGACTTTTAGAGAGAGGTTGGTATTGCTTATTGGATGGGTATTCCGGTTATAACCAAATCTCCATTGCTCCAGAAGAGCAAGAGGAAACCACCTTCACCTGCCCATATGGAACTTTTGCCTTCAAACATATGTCATTCGTGTTATGTAATGCTCCGGCAACATTTCAACGTTGCATGCTATCTATTTTTGCTAACATGGTGGAGGATTCAATGGAGGTATTCATGGATGACTTCTCGGTTGTGGTTGACACTTTTGAAGCATGTTTAAAACACTTAGGACAAGTTCTCCAAATATGTGTGGAGACAAACTTGGTCCTAAATTGGGAAAAATGCCACTTCAAGGAAGTATAGTTCTTGGTCACAAAGTGTCGCAAAAGGGGCCGGAGGTTGATAAAGCGAAGATTGCAGTGATTGAGAAGTTACCATCACCAATTTTGGTAAAGGATGTTCGTAGTTTCTTGGGACATACCGGATTTTACCGGAGGTTCATCAAAGACTTCTCAAAGACTGCACATCCTCTATGCAAACTCTTGGAGAAGGAGGTGAAATTCCACTTTCATAATGGTTTCATGGTGGCTTTCAAGTGCTTGAAAGAAATATTGGTCTCCACCCCGGTTATCATTATTCCCGATTGGTCAGAATTCTTCAAAGTGATGTGTGATGCAAGCGGCATGACATTAGGCGTTGTATTGGGGCAAAAACGCAACAAACTATTTCACCCCATTTATGAAGCAAGAAAAACTCTAACAGTGCTCAACGTAACTACACAATTACAGAACAAGAATTACTTGCGGTAGTATATGCGTTTGAGAAGTTCCGGGCATACTTGCTAGGTACTAAAGTGTTTGTTCACACTGATCATGCTGCACTACGTTATCTGATGGCAAAGAAGGATGCCAAGCCAAGATTGATAAGGTGGGTGCTACTATTGTAATCATTCGACTTTGAAGTAAAAAAGATATGAGAGGTTGTGAAAATCAGGTGGCTGACCACTTATCAAGATTGGAAGGAAAGGAAAATAACGAGCTATAGATCAACATAAATGATTCCATTCCCTATGAACATGTATTCACGGTAACTCTCAAACAACCTCATTGGTATGCTGATTTTGCCAATTACGTAGTGTGTGGATTAATGTCGGAAGAACTGAACTTCTACCAACAAAAGAGGTTATTGTTCGATGTTAAGAAGTACTTTCGAGATGAACAATATTTATTTAGAGAGTGTGCAAACCATATTATTAGGAGATGTGTTCTGGAAGAAGAAGCCATCGAAATTCTCCATGCTTGTCATGCATTACCGGTTGGGGGTCATCTTGGTGGTGTACATACAACTGCTAAAGTCCTTCAAAGTGGTTACTACTGGACGTCCCTCTACAAAGATGCTCATGAGTTTGTTAAGAAGTGCACTCAATGTCAAAAACAAGGTGGAGTGTCTAAAAGACACGAGTTGCCTCTTACACCCATTTTAGAAGTTGAGCTATTTGATGTTTGGGGAATAGATTTAATGGGTCCATTTGTGAGTTCATTTGGTAATAAGTATATTTTGGTGGTCGTAGATTATGTTTCTAAATGGGTGGAGGTTGTTGCACTTCCAAACAATGAAGGGAAAAGTGTTGTTCAATTCCTGAAACGCTACATCTTTGCTAGATTTGGTACTCCTTGGGCTATTATTAGTGATGGGGAATCCCATTTTTGCAACAAGAATTTCGCATCCGCATTGAGAAAATATGGAGTGAAACACAAAGTGGCGACTCTGTATCATCCCCAAACGAGCGGCCAAGTTGAAGTCTCGAATCAGGAGATCAAGAGTATCCTTGCCAAGACGGTGAATGCAAATAGGACTAATTGGTCTTGAAAGTTTGATGATGCTCTATTGATACGTCCAAACTTACACCTCAATCAAGAGATATAAACGGTCGAAGTCAATTTACAGAACTCAACGTGAGTTGAGGTCGATCCCACAGAGAATTTCTTTACAAAAATGATTTCACTATCGCGTTTTACTCTAATGTCATTATTATTTCCTTAATAAATAATTGCTGAAAGTAAATTTGGGTTTAGCGTTAACGCTTTAGTAACCAAAATTATAAAGTAAAGTCTAATTCAACAATGAACAAAATATCAGTTTTGAAGTTGTTTCAATAATTACTGAAACTAGGATTGTGTTCCTTATAACGTTGCCTCTAATGTCCTTACGTAATTGAGTTTCAAGAAACTTACATCTACAAACTACATGCGATTAGCTATATCTGACACTTCTCAGTCTACTTAGATAATCTTCAGTCAATTCCTCTCGGTCCTAGAGTGTTACACGATTTACCCTCGCCTATAATGGTGTTAAGGTCCTTTTCTCTCGAACTCGAACTTTGACTCCATTAGTTAGATTAGTTTAGCTTTTTCCTAACTATCATTTTTCTCTCGAACAAATGACACATACAGGCTCATCCTAATGCGTGCACTCATTAGAATACATGAATAATGAAAACTAAACTACAATTTGTAAGCACAAATTGCCTTTCACTCGTTTTACGAAATCACAATTAGAATTCCGTCATGGATCCCACAACCCCAGTTGTGGTGCTTAGCCACTCATGATTTCACGTAAATTTTTAGAAATATCGAATGGAAACATGTTAGAAAGTACTTACGAGAATAAGCAATCAACAACCACTTTGATATTTCAAGAACTGGAAAACCGAACTTCAAACTTAATTCAATATCTAAAATCGAAAACCAAAAGCTATGAATTATGGAAATTCGTTCGTTGTTCGATGAAAGATAGATAAAACATAAAAAATTGACCTAATTAATTCAAATAAGCGTTTTAAAAAAGAGTCCTACTCGAAGTAGGACCCTTCACGCCCACTTCTACGGCCCGTCAAGGGCTTCACGGTCCGTGAAGCCCTTCGTGGTCTTCACTTGGAATCCCCCAAAGCAGGTTCTTTAAGACCTGTACACTGTGTCATCACCACGACATACACCACGGGTCGTGACAATGACCACGGGCCATGTAGTTGTATGTGGTCTTCACTTGGTAACTTCTCTCTTCAACTTTCCAAAGCCCCTTCATTGTATAATTATGACGACATGCACCACGGGTTGTGACAATGACCACAAACCGTGTAGTTGTCCATGTTCTTCACTTGGTAACTTCTCTCTTCAACTTTCCAAATCCCCCTCACTGCATCATTAGCACGACATGCACCACGGGCCGTTGTGAGGACTATGACTCATGAAGTCGTCTGTGATCTTCACTTGGTTCAGTTCCTTTTTCAACTTCTCCTTTCCCATTCACTGGTTCAGCTTCATGACCAGTACCATGATTCGTGACAAGGACACTACCTGTCTAGGTGCTCATGGTCTTCACTTGGTCACCTTCTTTTTTTTCAGTTTTCCACACAAGCAAGAATCTGTGTACACATTCAACAAACACATCAAAGCTTACAAAAATGCACTCAATTCTAGTATTAATCCTTAGTTTTTGAGCATCAAATGTGCCAAGATTTTGCGGCACATTAACACCCTCAACTTAGAACCATTACTTGTCCTCAAGTGATGAGAAAACAATACATTCGGTCCTCAAATAATTCAAACCCTTTTGAAACTACGCAGCAGCCATCTCAAACACAATTTGTATCCAACACCATGAATTTAACATGCAAGGATCAATCTATGACATCTCATTACTTACAGTCAATCATGCTTATGCTTGTGAATTATCAACTAACACAATCTACTCTCAAATACAATCACTGTGTCCTCACACCAAAGAAGTCCCTCACTCATGATAATTGGGACTAAGTACTACGCTCACACTCTCAAAGAACTTCTAACACTAACAACAAACTACCATATGCTTGCCCTTGATATCTATGCTCTATCTTTCAAACACCCGGAATAGAATCACTTTAGGACTTTATTGGCTTGTAACATAGTCTCAGGCTAGGGAATAGATATTTGGGTTTGTGAGTGACTAGTCCCTTGGTTTTCCAAAGTTTCGTTTGCACACAACTCTTTTCTAAGCGATTCCCTCTTTTACTTCATTTCAGCACATCCCAGCAACCATTTTTTTCTTTTCTTCTTTTCCTTTTCTTTTCTTCACACTTTTTTTTTATATGCACTCAGCTCACTGGTTGAACCTTCTTTTCACTTCTTCTTTTTGGCCTAAGTTGTGACATCGTATCTTCAGAAATCAAAGAATATGATATTTACTGGGTAAGAACAAAAACTGACTTTTAGGCTCAAATCGGGTTCAAGTGGTAATCTTTTTATTTGGTAGTTCTATTTTTGGCTTTTTATTGGCTTACAAAAATGGCCTACTGATCCTTTCTTATCCGGTTATTCTCATACTTAAGCAAGACTACTTGGGAAAGTTCTAGTTTCTGCAGCTAGTATTAGACTTCAAACAACACTCACAAACACATGACACAGGACTACATTCTCCAGTTTCTTGGTTCACCAATTTATTGATCAGACTAACAATGCTCAACATGTAAGTATCTAAGATGTCATCTAAAGATCCTAATAGTCAAGTTTCAGATTCAGGTCGTCATTTTTAACAGACTAGCTGTTGCACAGCTCAACACACAAACACAAAATCAATTTTTACAGTAAACACAAAGTCAACCTCCATTCATTCTAACAACTTAGAATGGAAGGTTTCTCACGACCCCCTTCCAAAAAAAAGGACTTTGCCCTCAAAGTCAATTGAGAAAGTCAAACAGGGCTGTGAGGAGGGATCATACCTACGACGCTCTACGTGCCTGTAGTCAACTCAGCATCGGCACCCTTATCAATGGGTGTATTCTCAGAACTCAGCACATGA